CTCCTTTTTCATGAGGAAATGGGGTTCTATTTATAGAATTCTTGAGTTGCATGGTTTGAAAATAAGTGGAAGATCAAGGGTAAATTTGGAGTGGTTCGAATGGACGGCCGATCTTGATTCTTACGATCATGCACCGTTCAATGGATATTTGATTGTCTTAATGATATCAGAATTTGATGATCTTGGGCTCGTTGGATTCGTCTCGTCGAGCCACTCGATCCAACTATAATTATGTGATGATTGAAGATTGTTTGGTAACCCAAATTGTGGTTCGATCCTTCCAAAAATGCTTCGAGTCTTTGATTTGGACTCATTTGGGCTCAGATTGAGTCGATTTTTGTGTAGTTGGGTTTGCGTTTCCGAGACGCTTAGCTTGATTGTAAGTTTGTTGAAATTGGAATTCAGATGGTCTCCGATCTAATTTTTGAAGTTTCCAACTAGACTTTGCCTCGAGATTCGGGATCGATCAATGTAATTTTTTGATGATGTATCAAAGATCAATCAAATTTATGATATATCTTTTAATTAATATGTTACATTTGGTAGGAAAATGCGTAGCTACTTCACCTGCACCCACTTTATGCCCACTTTATGCGATGTTGAAAAAGTCTCTTCATCTCTTTCGTGTGAAGGAAGCTTCTTCGACGACCACTGTTGTTCCTGTTAAAGAGCTCATTGCAATAACGATCTTTCACCCCTTTCACGCGCTTCTTTGGTCAAATCCTCGTACTATCAATTTCAATAAATCCAGGATTTAAGGAAAAAAGATGATAAACAAAATAAAATCATATTTTAAAATAATAATATTATTATTTCACATTTTAATAGATCTGATTATAAAAATTTATTTTTATCATAAAAAATCTTAAAAATAATAGCCAAAAGGCAATGCAGCAACAATCAGAAAAGCAAAAAAATCTATCACCAAATAGATCCTTAGTCCATCAACTTCAGTGTATATGCAACTAGCAACTAATTTCAGTGTATTCAGTGGTCAAAATGCACAAAAATTATATGCCACTCTATTTTATTATTTGATTTAGCATATTGCACCTCAATTTTATTAGTTTTTTTTTATAACATTTTAAATAATTCTCATTTTTTAATATTCAACTCCTTAGAACTTTAACTCTAATTTAGGCTTCATTTGGGACAGTTTCTTGCTACTTAAAATAATTGTTTAGTATAAATTTTTTAATTTATGTACTAAAAAACTATTTTAAGAACCAATAAGAAAACCGTGCCAAATAAAACCTTATGCTCCATTAAATCCCCCATTTACATGCTTTACTTTAAGAAATTTATATATAGCTCAGTTGATGCATCCAATATAAGTTTATATTTGGTGATATCTTTTGACTTTTGGCATTTGTTGGCGGGATTCCGCCCTTCATAAACCTTATAAGTAGCTTACAACCCTTGTCTATGTTGGTTGCAAAGTTATCTATGGCTGACACTTAGCTAGGTTGCCAGAGAGAAAAGAGATGAGAAAGAAAGGAATGATAAAAATAGAGCCTTATAGAAGGTAGAGGTATATTTATACTTATTTAGAAAAATGAACTTGAATTTTGAGGTAAGTGTCGCATCTGTCATGAATGATTAGATCTCATATATCTTTTCTTCATCATTATAAAAAAAAAAACAAGCAAACCAAAAAAGGAAACAAAATAAATTAATTCCATACACAAATAGATAACTTGTCATATCAAACTTAAAGATAAATTTACAACAAATAGCAAATATAAAAATTTAGATTGTGTTCAAAGGGCTATACACAAAGTAGACCTGTCAATATTTGACCCGACCCGAAAACTTGACCGGAACACGATCTGAAAATTTCGGTTTCAGGTTGACCCGAACCCGAACCGGGTCGGGTTCAGGTTAGGGATTTCAACCCGTTTGTAAAACCGGGTCGGGTTCGGGTTGACCCGAAAACCCGAAATTAATCCGGTTTGACCCGTTTTTAATTAATTTAGGAGGATTTTAATGTATTTTTATGAAATAAGTAAATGATATTTCTAAAATTATAAACATTGTTGCCCAAATTAAATTAATCTTGATTTATTTTAAATTAATTGAAGTAAATCTTACCTTAATTTGATTTAGATTTAAATAAATTGAATTAAATAAAAAAATAATAAAATATGCCCGAATCGGGTCGGGTTCGGGTTGACCCGGACCCAAAGCGGGTCGGGTTCGGGTTCGGGAAACCGACCCGTTTGCAAAAACTGGTCGGGTTGAACAGTGTCGGGTCAATTTCAGGTTGGACCCAAACCCAACCCATGACCCGATTTTGACAGCCCTAACACAAAGGCAAGTTATCTCACTCACCCCCAAAACAAAACTTTAAAAATGCTGATGAAGAGCCCAACTCATAACCAGGTATCTCATAATGAACTTGGTCTAACTAAAAAAATCACTTGATAATGATGATTCAAAGAGCTTGTAAGTCGCCGAGATTTTTGTCGTCAGGTCCATCACCAATTGATGTAAGAAGTCAACAATTTCGTTGATAGAAATAGATGAACTCATTCTCTCCTTCAGGGTTACAACACTTCTACTTTCCTATCTGAACTCAACCATAACATGTGTGAAATGTTCCTCTAGTGTTAGCACTCAATCCAGCATGGCCATCAGTAAAGGTAGTGACATAGAAACCTCAATACTCAAACCTAACATCTAAGGAAGTGAAATGGATAGGTGAATAACATGAGGTAGCGAAAGGGGAAGGTGGCAAGTGTAACAATCACAAGCACCATCTTCACCCCATTCGGATGCATGGCAAAGTGAGGAGAAGAGAGGAGAGATGGGTGTTGAAAGAATAGTACATGTTGAAAGATGGAGTGTTGATAAGATACATTTTGAAAGGCAAGTTTATATCATTAAGGATATACCCCTTATTGATAAGACTAAACAGGGAGTTTAAAGAAAACTTAAATTATGAAGGTCAACTTTGGAGTCTAAATATTATCAATAGAACTCAAGTTGGATGGTCGAAGTGAAGGAATGCATCAGGCTTGTTGCGTGATAGAGAAGTACCCTCAAACTTAAGGGACAATTCCATAAGATGGTTGTGAGACCTGTAATGCTTTATGACATAGAATGTTGGCCATTAAAAGAGAAGTAAAAAAAATTAAGTTAGGGTTTATAGAGATGAGTATACTCAGATGGATGAGTGACTTTAAACTTAAAGACGGAATGTGAAACGATTATATACATGACTAGGTCGATGTATCTCTAGTGACATATAAGATTACAAAGAATCACCTTAGATGGTTTGATCACATAAAACGTCGGCCTTCTAATGACCTATTTAGGACAGTAGATGTATTAGATCTAGCTTATGTTAAAAAAAGATAGAGATATGCCTAAAAAAGGCTTAGTTATAAAGTATTAGAAATGACTTTTCTCATTATATTTAAATGAGTATTTTACTCTTAATATGACTTTTATTATTATATTTAAGCTTGATGATGTTTTTTGTTGTAATGATTTAAAAATAATGATTTTTTATGATTTTTATTTTAGACTCATTTAAATAAATTCAAAAAACTTAGAAAAATTTGGTGATGTTCATTAACATAGTGTACATATCTTTGAAATTTTTCAAGGTGTTCATTTTTTTCTGAATGCAAATCCACTTGATATTAAATTACTATTTTACCCTTGGGTGGGTCCATAGCCTAGGCATGTATCCCTTAGGTTTAAGGTTTTGTTTTAAGCATTCTTTAATTTTTTTTGAATTACTTAGAGTGATTTCATATTTATCATAATTAAAAAATTTTATTTTTTAATAATTAAATATAGAAAAATACCTTAAATAGCCTTATAAATTTAGGGTTTCTTAAAATTAATATTACAAGTCATTGAGTGCATTTACATTATTTTCCAAATCATCTTGCATAATTTTCAATTTTCAATTTGAAAAACCTTATTTTTAACTTTTAGAAAATGGAATAAATATGAAAAATTGAATTCATGCACTAATGGCATCATGCATGTGTGGTTTTCAGTTCAAACTTCATCTCAAATATTCTTAGACAATTTCAAAATTATTTGTTTCTTTTTTCAAGTTTATTTAATATTTTTATTAATAGTTATAATATTAGCATTAATTACGAAAAATATAAAATAATTTAAAAAAATATATCTGGTTATCTTGAATATTCTTAAACACTTTCTAAATCCTCCTCATTTTAGGGTATGTTTGGGATAACTTTTTTACTATTTTATTTTTCATATCACAACCTTATTTCTATTTGCTACTTTAAAAAAAAAAATCAATGCTAGTAAGCTACTTTTTACAACATATTTAAAAAAAATTACTTTCTGCATAATAGCATTATAATCACTTTTATAAAAAGCTACAGTCATCCAAATATGAACTTTTATTTTATCTAGTGAACGTACGCAGAGGAAGGTTCGGTTTTAGGCAAAAAAACTCGGTACAGGCGCGAAAAACTCGGTACACGCATTTTTTTGCCTAAAACCGAATCTTCCTCTGCGTACGTTCACTGGATAGAATAAAAGTTCTCCAAATAGACCCTTAAAAAATAATCAAACTAAGTTTATCTAACATGCAAAAAAATTTGTTTGTCCCATTTTTCATCAAATATTTTCTTATTTTGGTTATCTTTTGGTGGCATCTAGTTATTAGAAAATTATATATTGTTATTATTAAATGCATTAATTAATAATAATGGATAGTTGTAAACTAACTAACTTAGTAATAAAATCCTTGGAAGTTGTGAACTTATGATCAATGTCTTGTAATCTAACCCCTCCAATTTATGAAAAATTATTATGTGCGACATTCAAATTAGAAAAATCGTCCGGATATATGAGTGTACACACTGTATACATATTTATAGACAGTATATATCAAATCAGTGTATACACAGTATGTACACTCACAGTCAGGATAGTTCTTCCCGTCTGGATGCCGTACCTAATTGTTTCTCCCAATATATACGCTTCCCACGCAAACTTTCCCAAAAAAAATAATAAACTAATAAAGCTCTCAAATGTTGTTTTCTATTAAAAAAAAAAAAAACTTGGACACCAATTCACACAAGCTAAAAAACATTATCCTTATTTGCCAATGAACCAAACCATAGGAATCTCCATGGAAATTTCCCTTATCTTCTTCCCCATTTCAACTGGTTGATAAAAATTGCCTGAAAATTACACTCCCCTCCCCTCCCCTCCCCTCCTATCTTCAAGTAGCTACTCTGCATCGTTTGAAAACAACAAAACATCAATAAGCCCTTCCCTTCCCTTCATCACTGTCTTATAGATTTCTCAATAACCAGATCATATTCAATCTACACAACTCAGACAGATTACAAAACGAAAATTCAAGCCTAAAAACAGCTATTACAATCCATAAAACAAATCAACTCGAATGTAAGGAGAAACAGAGAGAGAGAGAGAGGACCTGGGTGAGCTTCGCCATCTCGGACTGTTCATCGGCAGGGAGAGCACATGGTTGGCGGGTGGAAACCGAGGGTGAGAGCGACAGAAGAGAGGGGAAGGGATGAATCCGCAGCCTAAGGGGACTGGAGAATATGGAGGTAGTGTGGACGAGGGATTTTGCAAGCCGACAAGGACGCGACAACAGAGAAGCAGAGGAGAACGACGCCGCTGGACGCGGCGGCGGCGGCGGCGGCGGCGCCAAAAGCATCCGTATTTGTTGTGGTGCAGACTGCAGAGTGGAAGCTTGGGTTTTGGGATCTTATGCATATATGAAATTTGAATAAAAAGTTCCTATTGAATCTAAAAAAAAAATCAAATGAGCTTTTGTTTGTGTTGGACATACTTAATAAAAGCTAGATAATATTGTTCAAATTCATATTCTCTTAAATGAATGAGTCTCAAAAGAATAATTATTGATTGGAATATGAGGTATTTATAAATTAAATATTTTGAATAATCTTACTAACAAAAGGACTCATACTATTTTGCTCTTGATAAACGCAATTCGGTAATTGTGTGCTTTAAAAAATTGACCTGTCTCTCCATATTGAGGCTTTGTTTGGGATGACTTTCTTAGTGCTTCTTAAAGTAATTTTTAGTTTAAATTTTTTTAAAAAAATTTTTTACTAAAAATTTACTTTAAGAAACAGTAAGAAAGCTGTTCCAAAAAAAAAACCTAAATCTTGTGGTTTTTAGGAAATGG